CTCTAACGCACTTTTTTTCTCTCCATTATTCTGTCTGCTGCAACCTCTCTTCCTTTGCTGGCAGCTGAACTTGACTTTGTATCATCCAACAGAACATGAGATATAGAGAGATTTTATTTACATAATCTTTTGTCCACTGTGGAGCTTGTTATTTATGAAGAAGTGCAGGATTCAGCAGGAAATTCCACCCACCTTTATATGGGATCCCTTTTCCTCAAATCTGATTATTGAAGATCAGATGTATTAGAGAGAGATGATAGCCAGAAAAGGGATATAAATTGGATTATGTGCAGACTATGCATGTGGATGTGCTCTGAAACATGCCCCAAGAAGGGCATTGAATGTTGCAACTACAGCACAGGTCGCGAGTCCAACACTGCCTTAGGACAACCAGTCTCGTTGCTGTAGATTACCAAGATTGTCTTTGTTTGTGAAGCTTAATTTGGCCTCACACTGCTGGAAAATCTTGTTGCTGACAAGAACTTCCTGTGTGGATATTACTAACTTCATTTTTGTGGCTTGGGAAGTTTATAGTGGTTATGTTAGGATAATTCCCAAAGGCTAAGCTGTGCTAATGCTCTGCTGTTATCAGTTGAAATCCTTGAGAGTCTGCAGTGTGTAATGGGCATCAGTGACCATAATGTGTGTCATTTTCTCTCTGTAAATATATCCTTTCTGGCTGTTTCTTTGGCCAATATTCCTTGGAGAAAATTAGAAAGCTTCTAGAATGATAGGCAGGTATCTTGTCTATATCGATGGAATGGGAGCATCAGTGAGAAAAAGAAATGTAAGAAGATTGAATACACCCAGCCAAGTTGAGTATTACCTGCAAATTACTTTGTCTAAGTGGCAAAATACACTCGAAATTACTTATACAATGAAGTGCTTTTTGCTGTTACCAAGGTCCTTAGGTTCCTGTGACTTCTTCTGTCCTGGGCAGACAGCGCTGCCTTTGTGACCAACAGATTTGTACAGCTAGGGCTCTGCGTGATGCAAAACTGTCTCTAAGTGCTATGGAAGCAGCACACGTGCAAGTACCCGTGTGGTGCTTGGCTTGAGCTAATGAACACTGCTGGATCTGAGCTCGCTGCCAGTGTCTTCTGCAAATCACAGGGTACAACATGATCCCAGACAGATGGGTTGTTGGGTGCGAGCTCTCCAGTCTTTGGGGTGGGTCGCAGGCATCCCTGACCTCACATCACTTTGCTCATCGTACAGGCACACTTGAAGCCTTGTTGCTGCTGGTATGAACATAATTCCTGCTTCAGGATGGTGTGTGGCCTGGAGTGCTGTGTAGCTGATGGACGTAAAGGAGATCTAGGGCCTTGTGTAGGGAGGGTGGTTTGGTTTCAGTTAGCATATGACTGGCCATAGTGGGGTTAGGTGGCATTTTTCACTGTGGGCTTTCTTTTTGTTCTACCTGTTAACTATTTGTGTGTTATTCTGGACAATATTCACAGCTGAAACATGTTACTCCATTTTAGCCTTTTGAAGAGTCCTGTAATAAAAGACTTGTCATTTAATCACACTGTTGTGGGTTTCAATGTAGACAGGGCAGTCACTCTGAACAGAGCTGACACAGCTCCTGATTTTGTCAGGCCACATTTCTGTGGAGACATATTGCAGAATACAGGGGTTCGGTGACCAACCCTGTGTCATAATTGGGACTTTTTATATTATCTGTGATGGGATGGACAAACAGTTGATTCTTTATATTTGGGCTTTGGAGACTCATGAAGACTAGAGCTGCAATTCTACTCCCTTCTCTAATACTTTTATTAGTAAATTTTACCACTGTTTTGGTGGATCCAAAGCAAGGAGCTGGGCTGCAGACATTGCATCTGAGTCTGTAACTAATATGTTATTAGATACATCACTGCAATAGGTCTTTTATAAACTCATTATTGTTACTGAGCCACATGAGGAACTGAAGTTGCTAAACCCTACGCTTCCCTCAGGGCACTAAATGACTTGAAGGCTGGTAGCAGGATACAGACTTGTAAGTTCACATCTAGATCAGATCTGTTAGTGCCTGATGCCATGAAGGGGTGTGAAGCGAGATGTTGATCTCGCCCACTTTCCACGTGCACCAGTGGATACTTAGGCTTTCTCCAGCATAACCATTCACGTACTTTTAAAATGAACATTATTTGCAAAGATTTCCATGCTGCAGCTATGTAGAAATGCAATTCCTTCCAGAACTGGTTGTGTTCTCAGTGGGTGGAACTCGCCAGCACAAATCCTCTTAGGTGACAGTCAAATGCACTTTGAGCACCAAACTGGCCCTTAATCCTTTTGCAGCCTGTTGCAAGGGAGGCTTTTTCACCTGGTGGAGAGATTTCGCCCCCCCCTTTTTTTTTGGTGTGACCTTCAGGCTTTTGAATGTTGTCCTCTGCAGGCTGGATGAAAGAATAGCCTGCTTGCTCTCTCCAGGAGGGATAACTGTTTTGTTAGTAACCACAACCAACTTGCTCAGATTCTACATTTAGCCTGGATTCTGAAAGTGTCAGGTTGTTGTCATAGGCTGCTTATCATAAAAGGTTCTGTGCTGTCTTGGACTTCATCCAAAGGAGGAGAGAAGGATCTCTAAGAAAACAAATTTGTAAACAGACTTCTCAAGACCCCTGGACTGCCAGTACTTTCTCATTTGATTGTCCATCTATGGGATCCTCTTGCAGAAGAAACAGCCTTGGCTTTATCAGAGAAGTAGATAATACATGATGGCTTGGAATGCAGGATGTAGAAGCAGAGAGCCAAGGTGTTGCTGGCCTTACACTAGATAGATTATGTAGGAGTGAGTGGACTTTAAAATCATATTTTAAACTATATTTTAAACACTATTGTATATTATGAATACTTTAAATATTAGGCATGAAATTTTCTTTTAAATGTTGAGTTACTTTTGAGGACGATTGTAGTTATTGGCCTTGCTTGAACAAGGCTTAGAGGTTTTCCAGTTTAAAGGAGTTGTTTTCGAAACAGAGTTCTGAGTGTTGTGTGGATCAGAGATGAGATGGCTAGAGAGTTTCTTACTCACTCTGTGGAGAGACCATCCTTGTGGTATCTGGATGCTCTTTCAAAGACTTCATGGCATATATTAGGTTTGAATGACATAAAGCTTCAGCCCACAGATCTGAATCCCGGAATGCTCCGTTCAACTTCTTGTCCTTTAGAGGCAGGTAGAGCAAGGGCCCCGCTGCTCGTTCTGTGTTTGTCATTCAGCTAAATGCAAAGCCGAAGCTCATCTCTTTCGGCTCGTGTTAAGACAACCAAGGCGGAGATGTTTTTAGTTCTGCAATCAAATATCATTCTCCGATTTCCCCTTGTTTCCTGTCCTACCCCAGCTCTGCTGGTTCTTGTTCTTTTTCCCGATCTCCAGGGCTTCTGCTTGCCACTGCAGAAGAACCAGTATTTACTGGTGTTCACTTCTGGCGGTAGTAAGTATTGATAAAAATAAGCCTGTCTTAACAAATTCATGTAGAGAGGAAGGTGGCAGGTCAGAAGGAAGTCTAGATTCATTCAAGTTTTACACTTGGTAAATATACTTAGTACGGTCTTTACAAAGAGATGGGGAGAATTTCCTGGATTTAGAGCAGCACATTGAAACCTGATTTTGGGGACAGTACCGGGAGAGGAGAGACTTGTCAGGCCTCAGTGGTTTGTGTCTACCCTGAAGTGAGCAAGAACTGCTTTCATGTGGTGGCAGGACGGGCAGCTCTTTCCTTGCCCTGAGAGAGGGGCCAGGTTGGGCTCAGAAGCAGAGCAGGGATTTCTGCCTCCAGAGCTTTGGGGAAAGGTGCACCTGGCCCTTTCGTAGCATTTATGTGGCACAGTGTGGGATGGTACTCTGTCAAAGTTGTTGGGTTTGCACACATGTGGTAACTTGTGCTCTTCTGTGAGTCTTGGAGTGACCTTTCATAAACCAAGTGGTTTCTAACATAATTTGGTGTTTACATGTCCTACAGTTTTGGTATATAGAATCTGTTTTTGGTATATAGAATCTGCCTCTATATGCAAAGGTTGCTGTAACAATTCTCAATCAATGCATAATTGCAAGCGTGTTCCTAATGAAACTCTTGGTGACTTGTTACGGAGATGCTTTCTTTTTGCCTCCCCCTAAATGCCTATAGGTGAGTTCAGCTCATGCAGTTCTTAGGGAGCTGAAGGTGGTGGGATGTTTCATGCCATCCAACAGCACAAACGAATTCACAATAGAAGGAGGGTCACAGTGCTTCTGCAAAGCCCATTTTTTGTTATGCACCCTCTCTTCAAAACAATGTGCACTAAAGAGGGCTTGAAACATTGATCCAGCACCTATGGGCCAGTGGCTGAATGTCCTCCTGGCAGTCTGAAGGGTGAAGGGGAGATCTGGCAGTGAAACAAACCCTTCAACACCCAGCGTGTGGGAGAGCAAAAAGTAATGGGACCCCCACCAGGTTATGTTACCAAAACTCCTTGCTTCCCGCTTCTAAGAACTGTCAGCTCTCTTGTGAGATCTCAAACAAGATGGTGATCAACAGCAGAAACTGTGTCTGAATTCCTAGACCACCAGTTTTGCACCACTTCCAATCAGGAATGTCACTCTTGCAGGCAAGTGGCCCCCAAATGTTTTAAAATTTAAAAAAAAAAAAAAAAAAAAAAAAAGTTTATGCTTCGTTGTTTCTCTGCCTGGCAGATTTCCATGCCTACAATTCCCTCATGGACTGGGCGCTCAAGTAGAGTTTTTCAAGAGCAGCTTTTGACCTCCAATTTAGACACTCTCTAAACTGTAGTTTTAAAGTAACCCATTTCAATGCGTTGCTACGTGCTGTGATATCATGTGCAAGATTCTTTGAGGGCTGATGATGTAAACACTGTTCTGTCGCATGAAAGTTGTATTTTAAGTTTTTCCTTTTTTTTCCCACTGCTTGCTGATCCCTTCCTATCCTGTCCGCTGCCTTCTCTGCTGTAACTGTTTGTGTCATTCCTTCTAGGATTCGGAAGGAGGTCTCTATGTGTGCATGAACACGTTTCTGGGGTTTGGAAGGGAACATATTGAAAGGCATTACCGGAAAACAGGACAGTGTGTGTATATGCACCTGAAACGCCACGCGATCAAGGTGAGATTGGTGGTTTCCTAACAATTCTAGCCAGTTCTTGGGGGTCTTTTGCCTGTTTGGATGACACATTTTGGAGACAGACCAAGTTTTGAATGAGGGAAATGAACGTGTTTGTATTTGGGGTTAGCTGTCAAATTCAGGTTCTTAGATCCCGACCCATCATACAGTTTCACTTCTGAGCCGAATCACAAGCTCTAAAGGACCAGTTCTTAAAGGCAACTTGTTGCCCAAAGAGGCTGCTAATTGCCCTATTTCTGCTGATTCTTTACTACATGCTTCCATATATTATATACATATTGTATGTAACTAAATACTTCATAGCAGCCTGCTTTTGAAGTGTAGATTTACTGGTTTCAGATTTGGCTAGAATTTCTGGGGCTCTTTTTTATGTGAGGTTTCAACTCAAGGTGACAGGATTTCTTTTCATCCTAAGATTTATACCGTGAGCTTTAATCACAGCCTGACCTGTGATTTGAAACTCATCTTAAATTGATACTGGATGCTAGATCTAGACACTGCCTACAGACAGTGTTACACCCTCCCACACATGGATGGATGCCTTCAAACTTCCTGCTCACTGTTCTTCCACAATATCACAGCACATTAATAATCATTTATAACTAGTGTTTCATAACATCTGTTTCTATGCAGTTTGTCTGGTATCTTTAAAAAGTTATTAAGACTTCTAATCTGAGCGATATGGGTAGCACTGGGTTTGCTTCTGCGTTCTCCTGTGAACTCTCTGTCTTTTGGGCAGTTAGGGAGCCTAAAATAGCTGCTCAGAGTGGGACAGACTATTTCCTGTTTCATTCTCCAGCAGTGATTCCCCTGGGTGTCAAGGCCCTGGTGCCCTGATGTGACTGGCTTTATTTTTGCTGGAGGATTGTTCATATTTTATCTGATCAATTGTGGGGAGGCAGATTACAGATGTCCCCTGAGTTGGATTTGGTGGTGGTGTTTGTTCTAATTTAAAATTCTCTCTCCTTTTAAGAGTGATAATTACATTTTCTTCACATTGTTAACTCTAAGTTCTTGTAGAACCTAGGCTGGTTTCAGCAACAGAGTGACTTAGGGACTCTTGAAGGCTGGTGTCTCTGACTACAGAGAGTCAGGCAGAAATCTTGTCAGGATTCCTGTGTTTAAAGTTCTTCCAGCATTGGTCATCCAAAGCGACTTGGGAATTTTCAGTGTTAAAGGAAACTGGGATTAAAATGAGCACTCCCCCTCAACAAACAAACAAGAAAAAAAAGAATCCTGGTTAAGGATTTGACCTGAAGGGAGAGAAATAAATACACTGCCTGTTGTTCAGTGTTTGAGCACACTTTGGACTGAAGTAGTTCAGTGGCTCCCATCCCTTCCTCTTGTGAATCATGATGCAGCAGAGGGAATGAGTTGGGTGTACAGGGGTGACACTGGTGCATGGGACACACTGTCTGCAAGAGGCTCTGACTGTCCAGTTCAGGTGAGGATCGTGTCATCTAACATGGACTAAAGATTGGGTTCCTCACATGTTAACTGTGGATTTTTTATTTGCTCTCCAAGTTTTCTCTGATGGATGTGGAACATTGCCTTCCCTGAAAGTCTTATGAAGGGCCTGGCACATGCTACGTTGTAGCTTTGGTTTCGTAAGCCAAGCTTTTGATGGTGTAGGATACAGTAAAGCCGGAGGTATTGGGTGTACTGCTTTAGGATTCTCTTGGCCAGGCTACTATTCCAGCTCGTAGTTCCCTTGGCATCATGTTTGCAGAATGCAACACATTGCTGCAGAAAGGCTTGTTCGCTTCCAAAGGTGTTTGGAATAAATACCAATTATGTGTTCACAATTGAATTAGAAAGCAAGGGTCAGAAGGGTCAATAAAGCTACAGGGATTGCCAGCAGCAGATCCGCATCAGAGGCATCTGCTCAGTCATCAGAACTGTCTGCGAGAGCAACTTAGAGAGCACCTTCTGGTAAAATGCTTAACTAAATCAACACAGTGTGGGGTTTTTTTGTTTGTTTGTTTTTGATTGTTTTTGTTTGGTGTTTTTTTTTTTTTTTTTGAGAGAGATTAAAAAAACGATTGCCCAGGTAGTATTTAGCCTAAGGTGGAGGTTTAGCTTCGTGCTACAGTGATACTTCAGGCCCTGTTAAAATCATCAGACAGATCAGTATGAAATATGCTTCAGTGTGGGTTGCCAGATATTAGACAATGGCACTTATGTTATAAGAACATAGCTGTTGATGCAGTTTATGGAGGTGTAAAATAGGAGAACTGACACCTTGTGTGAGAGACATCACAAACAGAACCCAATGCCAGAGCTGATGTGTTGTGAATGAGAAACACGTTCAGTGTTGTCCAAAAGGTGGAGAAACTAAGGCAAAAAAATGTCAGGTCCTGATTTGGTTAGAAATAGCAATTTGGCATCTACAACTCTAGTTTAGAAATATTGAGCAGCTTGACAAATCAAGCTGAAGAATTTAATGTTAGGCTCTCAGTCTGGAAACACTCCTTGTGACTGTTTCTTTGAGACCTGTGGTCTTAATGACTCCCCTAGCGTCCTACTTGGTCATCAAAATTCATCTGGAGCTTCTCACTTCTGAAAACAATATTTCTTAGTAATAAAGCTCTGATCCTGAGGACGTGTATTCAAATATTTTTATACTCAGTTTATACTGTATCTTGATGTTGCTGCTTTAGAATAAAAAAAGATGCTTGGATAATAGGTTTTGTTCTTAAGTGCAGCCAAGGAGATTTAGTTGGTGTCTGCTCTTTCTAAGAATGGAAAAATTTCCTCTGGCCTGCAAGGCCTTATTGATGATTCAAGCAGATTTCTCTGGCCAAAGCTTTATTTACATGGTGAAGGGAACCACCCAAAATATGTGACCCTTTCACCTACCGGGGAGCGGAGGCAAAACATGAACTTTCCCTCAGCTGACAGGTTCTTGGCTGCTTTCTCTCCACCTGTTGTATCCTAATATTATTAAAAAAGAAGTCACCTAACAACCTCACCACTCACACTAACATTATACACCAGATAATAAATCTTGTTGGCATTATAGCTACAGAGGCTTATTGAGAGATTTAATGTATTGACGTATGTTAACGAACAGCTTAAATAGGCAGCATGTATGAATGCATTGACTTAAATGTTTGTCCACCTCCTAGCGTTTTGTCCAGTAGTTTGAGGTATTTGGAAGTGAGAAAATTGTGCTTGGAATTGAGCGTCAGTGGAACGAATGGGAATTTACTGTCTCTTGCTGTGTAGCTTAACTGTGTAAAGAATAATCCCTCTCTGAACTGTTGCTTAGGTTTTGCCAGGTTTCCTCCCTACTCTCTAACAGAGCATGGCCATAACTTGGACTGATGCTAGTGGAAGCAGGCTTAGATTCTGACTGAACTGATGGGATTTTTTTTTCTGAATACAAGCAAATTAGCTGAGCCAAGGGATCAAATTGAAGTAGAATGGTCATATCGAAACTTAGTTATAGAGTACTTTTTTTTTTTATGCATCTTTTAAAAAAAATCTTTAGTCATTAAGAAATACTCTAGGCATCTGGCGATGAGAGGTCCCACATTGATGATGGGACAGCCATCACCCCTGGTCACCATCAGATGTGCTCTGCTTCATTGCTAGTAAAGGGAAGTGAAGGGGTTTGGGTGCTGATTTACTTGCTTGCTCCTTAAGGGTAGTGGACAGTGATGGGCCTCATTGTCAGAGGTGAATGATGAAAATTCACGTTTGTTCTCAGTAGGGGCTGTCATTTAATAGAAGGATCAAGAACAGATCCATGTTACTTATCAAAAAGGTGATGGTGAAGAGCTGTGGCTGATTCGCTTTTGTTTCATTTGATGGATTTTTAATTGTGTCTCTCTCTCTTTTCCAGAAGGTACCAGGGGCATCTGGTGGAGCTTTACCCAAAAGGAGGAATGCTAAGCTATTTTTAGGTATTGTGAACAGCTGTTTTTGCACAGTCCCTTCCTGACCCTGTCTGCATGTGTTCTTGGGTTCTGTCCACCATTGTGTCTGACTTTGGGGCTCCTTGTGGGTTTTTTTTCTGTTTTTTTTTTTTCCCTTTTCCATTCTATTTTTTAAAGTTTGTCCAAACAATAAGTAATTCTCATGAATTTTGATGTATATTTTGAAATATGTGTACATATGAATAAAACCTTTATTTTAAGCTAAATTGCTCCCTCCACTGTTCAACTTTCTGTTTAGTTCTGGCCTTCCCTCTGTTTATAATATTCACATAACACCTTTATATTCAAACATGTATCTGTACTTAATGCTTTGATATAACAGGGCCCCAGTGTGGCACTGTTCTGCTCAGCAGCTGCTCACAGGAAGGGTTATTTTTCACTTCAATGAAGGTGTTACACACGTAAAATGCTCTTGTGCTTGCTCTGGTCTCCTGTGATGAATGCAGCAGTACATACATCGTGACTCTCCCTTACAAGTTTCTGTTCAGTTATGTCCACCATTATCCCTTCACCTTACAGAAAACAGCTTTATCTGGAGGTGTCTTTTTCCTCAAACACTAATATTCTTTATTATCAGTTGATTCAGATTATCCAGAAAACCAGAGGACTTCCTAGATATGTATGGTGGAACATGATGTAATGCCCGTATTTTGTCTCATCCCACCCTTTTGGGGTAGTTTTCTTGAGTCTCACACTATTTATTCTCATTTCAATACTAACAGCAAGTGATATTTTTGTCCTATTGTCAAAGAAGTTAAATATTTTCATCGCAAATAGCGGTGCTTATGGCTGGGGGGGAACAATAGCATTGTCCGTCATTGAAATTGCCTCGATCTGTGGAATGTGTCCCTAAGAAGCCCTTGCAGTTTGTGATGAATTAAATAGTTGTCATTAACATCTGTAAGTTTTGTAAGAAGGGCTTAGAGAAAAGAAGTCTTAGTAAGATGGGTCATAAATAGATCAAACTCCTTTTGTAGGAAGAGGCCATTTAATGAGGAGTGAGTTGACAAATGCTAGTTCTAAATGCTATTTGCTATTAATTCTTATCAAAAATGTTTCTCACGGGACAATTATTGGTTGGTTCAAAAGCAAAGCTGGCTGTAACGTAGCAATGGTTGTACAGTGTTAGCAACTGGGCTGTAAACAAGAAGTGTAAAAAACACAGCCAACTTTTATTCCTGCTGATAGGAATACTCCGCATGTCTTTGAGGGAAACCAGCACATGTTGTACGTGGCTACGTGTGTCTGGTATGCTGTATTGGAGGGGATCTTAAATTCCACCTTTGCACATGAACATTTTGCTCCCACTGTGTAGACCTGGAGCAGCAGATTCAACTGTCTTGGTTCCAGTTAATTTATGAGCACAGTGCAATTTCCTTGGGATGTATTTAGCCCTCCAAATTGTCACTGCTTAATCCACGACTCCTGCAGTCTGATGCATTAGTGAAAATTTATCTCATCTGATCTGTTCTGCTGGAGTCTTCATTGCTGCCTGGAAGTAAAATGGTATCATCTGTCTGCACTGGTCCTTTAGGTGATATTTCCAATTTATCTGAGTGCTCTCTATCCAGGACTTTAGACTTGTAGATTTTTTTTTTTCATACTTAAAGAAATGAGCAAGAAATTATTCCTGCTCTCTCATACTTGAGAAAATTGAAGCACACAGCAGTCAGCTATGTTGATTAAGTTGCAAGTGATATCAGAGATGCTCTGGTGCTCTGGGCTCTGATATCAGCCCATATATATGCGCTGGTGATATCACTAGCCCATATATTTATATATGTGATGTGCAGGGCTTCCTCCGTTGGACAAGAATGGGCAATGGCTATTCATGACTCCAACATCCCTGTGTTTCTAGGTGTCTCCATCTGAATAAATCTCTGCAGCCCCAGAGAATCACAGAATTAAGCTTTGTGTACAGAGTCAGTCTAGTTTGGGCATTTGTTGCATTGCTGCTTAAAATCTTCTTTGAGGTAAGGCTATTAAGCATATTCAACCCTATTCAGTCTTAGGAAATCATCTTTTGGATGCTCATAGATTGCTTTCTAGCACTGCTGCTGTCCCACAAATGCAAGAGAAACACACACTAGTTGAATCAACCCATTGTGAACTTTATTTTTTTGTCCAGATATTGACAGATCCAGTGTATATGTTAGATTTTTATTTATTTCTTTATTTTTGAGAAGGGTGAAGACTGTTACCTGTATGAATTGTTTGTTGTAGTCAGGAGGCTTAACAACACTGTAGGTGGAAATGTGCGAGTTGTCTTTAATTGAGCTTGTTCACAGGCATTGCCAGGCAGTGGGGATAGGATAACTTTAGCTCAGATTGTACAGACTTCCTGGGGGTTTGGGATGATGTTTAAAGCAGTTTGAGTGCCCAATTGACTACCTTGGAGTATTATCTTCATTGCCTTGTTACCTGGAGTAGGAAATTGGAAGCTATTTTGTGCTTGTGAGTGTGTGCAAGTTTTAGATCAAATATGTTAAGTGAAAAGAAATTAACTGATAGTACCAGATGGTATTCCCCTAGTGCTTTTGAGGTAGCTCATATAAGAAATTGGCTTTCTGCAGTGTGCAACCTCTTGCTTAAATCAGCCACAGTGCAGTAAATGTGACACTGATTTGAAAAAGGGATCAGGAAATGTGCTTATGAGTAAGTTAAGTTTTCATATTAGCCTATTTGGGAGAAAAGTAAGGAGCAGAGCTAATAGAAAGTTGTATAAATAGGGCAGAATGGAATAGGAAAAAGTGGCTTTTAAAGTGGTTAATATTTCTAGGTTGGTGAGAGTGCTTTGAGATGAATATGTTGATACATGGGTGTGAATCCATGGATAAGAGTAATTACAGAAGATAGAGAAGATACAGAAGACCCTCACTTAGGGGGTCTAGGACAACATGTGAGCTGCTGAGGTTTTCTTGGATGACATCTGCCTACCTATGGTAGAGAATCCACTTGCACCTGCAACTTAGCTCAGAGCATGAAGAGTAGCCATAAAGCTCCACCTAACTGTCCCAGGTCTAATCATAGCCAGAAGCAGAACCCTGTTCTCAAGAAGGACAGACTCAAGAGGACTTGTGAGGAGGGCTTTCATCACTGGTAGTTTATGCAAGTGATCATGTATAGACTATGGACAAATTTCCAAGTGATTTGGGCCAATTTGAGTGCTTTCTGACAATTTTTCTGAAAAGTTTGATGGTTTAGTTTTCCTTGTTTAATGAATGACTGTGCTAGAAACCTAAAATGTGAGATACATATGTAGTAATAAGAAGAGCATATTAATGCTTTGGAGTGTCACAAGGTGAATGTGATTCTACATATGGCAAATGATACAAATGATCCTATCAGTGAGTACTGCTTTTCCTTTCTTCATATATGAAAATGTTATAGCTATAATGTGTATTTATTATTTACCTTCTATTTCTTTGTTTTAGTACTTCCTCTGATGAGTGTTTTTAGATGTGATTGAAGACAAGTGAACAAAATAGTTTACAAAGTGTTGCTGGAATTCATGATGATTTAGAGGCTTCAAGAAGAAATGGTTTGGTTTAAAGCTGCAGTCCTCCACTTTCTGTCAATACAAACCTGTCTGTTGCATTCATGGAGAGCAGGGTCAAGCCCAGATTCCTCAGATGACTTCCTAAGGTTTCAAAATCAGTTGTAGACTTGTTAGTCACCATCCTCATTCGATTTACACATTTGTGTTCCCCTTCGCAGGCAGAGACACATCCATATCACAGGAAATCCTGTTTCGGGGTCCTGTCTGGAATCTCCTCCTACCACTATTATTAGTGCAGTTGGTTGGTAACTTGTCTAAATCTGCTCTGGCCACGTCCACGCCTCCCCTTGCCTTGCAGCAGGTCGGTTTGCAGGACTCTCTACAGTCTTACACCTCCAGCTGCTCTTTTCACTCAGTCCAGCAGCAGTGGGTCTGTGAACTGGAGTAAATTTCCTCTCCTGACGGCTTGCCTGAAGTAACGTGACTCCAGCCTCTGTTTTAGCGGGTCTGTTATTTTGCTTTTGCTGTCGTCCTGGCCTCCCAGCACAACACGTATGACCTATGGGCACTTTGTTTTAGTGACGGCAGCGTTTACTTGCAGCTCTGACTCGGTACTGTAAAGCTGCTAGTCCCCTCGAAAGGGAACGTTATCATGTGGACATTCCCCCCCAAGCTGTCAGCAGGGCTGCAAAACTGGTTGTGTAGTGGTAGTCTGAGGAGAACTAAATAAACGTGCTGCTGCCCAGCGGGGTTCCTTTACACACTGTGCCTTGGCATCTTGGAAGGCCATCTTCTCACTAAACTAATGTGCTCTGAGCAGAGACCTGGATTTGGAAGAATGAGTAGGTTTTTAAGGTTTTCAACTTCACCTCATTAAGGGGTCAGTCTGACAGTCTGCAGAAGGGATTAGTTTAGGTTGTCTGCTGGATGAAGAGATTGGAGTCGGTGACCTTAGAAGTCCCTTCCAGTTTTATGGGCTGAATTTGAACTCTGAAAAGCTGAGTATATTCAGAGTGATAATTGTGAAAATGACAATTGATATTGGTGATTCTTGCAATTCTGATTAAGAGGGAGTGTATGATGTGGAAGTATTCCAGCTTTGCATGGTTACTTTTAAAGGGGGAATTGCCAGCTAAATCCTCCTTTTTTTTTTTTCTTTTTCTGGATCTGTCATAATGCTGTGTGTATCTTTAAAATAAGAACTGTGATACTGTGGTGTTGGTGTGTCAGACATTCAGAATGGCTCTGCTGACAGGACCTCATTTTCCACTTTTGAATAAGCTGAATGGTTTGAAACTTGAAGAGGTAAAAAGGAACTTTCCTTCTCTTCCCTTTGCACACAAAAGGCTGGCCAGCTGCTAAGTGTGTGATGTCCTTAAGTGGCAGAGGATGCTCACTAATAGGATACCCAGTCTTTCATCTCGGGATCACTGGTTCAAAGCCAGGTCAGGTCAGTAGCAATAAAGTCACTACCATTGTTATCTGGCTGGTGAGATGAGGTGATGTGTGAGTGTCTGAATCTTGAACCTAGGTAACTATATCACTGATTGAACCAGAGCTGATTGCAAATGCTAAAAATTGGCAATACCGGCTTTATAAGGAAATAAAAATACCAGTGGACCTTACAAATGTCTACAAATAACAATTAATGGCTGCTGCGAGCTGTCCTCAGGTTCCCTCTGGTGGCTGAGAAAAGTGTGAGTGCAAGCCCTGGAAGAGGCATGTGCTGCCTTTAAAGCTCGCTGGATATACAGTGAGTTTTTATTCCAGTTGAGGAACCTGCACAAAACAAAACCTCTGTCTTCCATTGATATTGCTGTGGCCAGCACAACATATCTGAAAATACTATCGAATTTCAGGATTGCTGTGTGAAACCTCAGTGTGGTATATTGCCATAGGTATCAGCAGCTGGAGAGCACTCGTCTTTCATTTGTAAAGCAAAGGAGCTTTCTGATGCAGGCTGGAAGATTTGCATCTGTTGAGAATCTCTCCTTTTTCAAAGCACAAGATTGTAATACAAATTGTGCAAGAAGCCCTAAGTAAAGTGAGGTTGGTGGTGGTTTGTACTATGCTGCAGTAGCAGAAAAGACCCTCATATAGAAAAAATGTGATTCAGGGAATTAGTAATGAGTTCTTTTTTTCTTCCTGCTTTTGCAAAGCCTTCTGGTATGAGTAGTTGTTGCCTTGGTGTCTGTACTCAGCTGATGGGAAGGACATTTGGTCAGTCACTGTGGGGCAAGAGGTCATGTCACCAAAAGTCACTGATGGTGGGTGTTGTCACCCCCTCAGAAGTGGCTGATGCAGAAGGTAGATCAAGAATTTGAAAGGAAACTGGTCACTGTTCCTCTCAAGAGGGGATCTTTCCAGATCAACTTAATATATTTTTGATATTTAATACAGTTTTTATCACTTAGGCTGTTCATACTGTTGCTGTTCTGTGTATCTGTGACCTTAGTTTCCTGAATTGAGCCATGTCATCTTCACTCCAGAATATACATCTGAGGTTTCAAGCCTTTCTTGGATGCAGTGGTTGCTGCCAATGCTTGCTTAGTGTTGAATCACTTGCTACCTATGTGCATGTGTTTAGAGTGCCAATTAGGGCTAGGGCTATATTATTGTTAGTAGTAGTATTTTTACCAATTCCTTTTCTTTCTTGGACAAACTTTCTCCTATCAGTGACTGTCTGGTGTGTAGGAATATGATAGTTTCTAATTTTTGAATGCTCCCCATCATTGCTCAGTCCCTCCTTGTGGTTGGGTCTTGTGCAATGTGTCGAGCACAGCATGTACGTGCTTGGTCTTAACTTCTTCAGTTGTCTTGGGAGAAACTGAGGAATTAACTCAGTCTTGTCTGCATGGATAGTTATGTTTTTGATAAAACCTGTGGTGTGAACACTAACCATACAGTTTGTTTGAATACCTTCCGGGCCTCTTTCTGGGTGCACTCCTTACTGTACAAGCATGTTGTCCACTTTAGCTACTGTTCCTGGAGCAAGGTTTGCATTTAAGTGAGAAAATTGTCCTCACACTGGAGTAAGAGGGCTCACACATACTAAGTGTGATCTTCAAAGCCAAGTTTTGCTAGCTTATATTGTTATAAGAGATATAGTTACCCTGGTTACAGAATGGAGTTGACAAGATTGGGATAATGCTGCTGTAATTGTACCTGCTCTAAATGCTTGAAACTATGGGTGGCACGTGGAGACCATGACCACAGCCAACTTCATGAGAGGAAAAGCCAGAGGTACAAGCTGGATGGGAGCTCAAGTGTATATCAGCAAAGTCTGTGATCTGGAAAATATGGGAATCCAGAACAGAAGTGCGGTGTCCTTTCTCGGCAGTTTAGTCATAGCTAGTGTGATCTTCTCTCCGAATTGTAAAGTCATTCAGGATTTTGCATAAAAGACACAGCAGCCTTGTATCCTGCTTATCTCCAAAATCAGCAGAATTTTGTTAGATGCTGCCCAAATTGCAGCAATGCTTGTGTTTGGAGAAGGGCCACATCAAATGTGCTTGTGAATGGGGTTTAGATTAAGGGGAAAGTTTTGGTCCTTGGCACATCCCTTGGCAGAAATCCTCTGGTTACATTTTAGCCTGGGTCAGGATTTCACAAACATTTCTGGCCAGAAAAAAATATGGACAGTGTTAGCTGCCAGATGGCTGTGAGACAGGCGATACTTCATAGCTGTACCGCTGCCACGGTTTAGGAACCTTCATCTTGGGACCATGTCCTAATGTTTCCCATCTTCTTTTCCAGATCTAGAGACAAATGGTGACCTCAGCAGTGATGATTTTGAATATGAAGATGAAGCAAAGCTTGTTATATTTCCTGATCACTATGAAATCTCCTTACCAAACATAGAAGAGTTACCAGCTCTGGTTAGTGAGTGTATGAAATAAGTGATAGCGATTGTCTCTCACTTCCATTTTTATCAAGATTTTTTTTTCCCTTGAGTATTGTGCTTGTTTTTAAATAAGGGCCTCTCTTTACCAACTGTAATGGGAACAGTCTTTTTAAAAAGTCTATTTTGTTCTTATTTTTGGGTTTTGTTATACCTCCATTATTCCTACCCTTACTGTGGTGACAGCTTGTCCCTTGGAAACTCATGCAGCTTGCTTTGTTGTGCTTAACTCTCTTACAATATTAATGTTAGCAACTGCAACCCAGCAGAATACTTGTGTATTTAAACATATCAATAGTTCTACTGATATCCAGTTATGTATGTGCTTTGCAAGTGAACTGGGTGACAGCTTCTGTCCAGTTACTGAATGAAATTAGATTTCAGATTTAACTTGCCTTTGTTTTCCAGGTGACAATAGCTTGTGACGCCCTCCTCAGCGCAAAGTCACCCTACAGGAAGCAGGACCCTGACTCCTGGGAAGAAGAACTGCAGGCCTCTAAGCACGCCAAAACTCTTGTACAGTTAGACAACGGTGTTAGGATCCCCCCCAGGTGAGGGTAGCAAGGTTTGTTCATTGTAGGTTCTCCAGTGTAATCCAGAATAAAAGTGTTACAGTCAACAACTTGGCCAGGAATTTTCTTATGTGCCTCCTGATTAGATACATATATTTGGTTTGACCTGCTGTAATAATTTGGGAATGCAGCACTGGTTCATGCTGTACTTTTTTTTTTTTCCCTTTGTTTTCTTTGTTTTCTCTTGCAGTGGTTGGAAGTGCTCAAAATGCGACCTGCGTGAAAACCTGTGGCTAAACCTGACGGATGGATCGGTGCTGTGTGGGAAGTGGTTCTTTGATGGCAGTGGGGGCAATGGGCACGCGCTGGAGCACTACAAGGAGATGGGGTATCCCCTGGCAGTCAAGCTGGGAACCATCACTCCTGATGGAGCAGGTCAGCTGCCTGGCAGCCTCTGAGATGGGGTGTCCTTTGTGCATGACAGTAACACTGCATATTCATTATCAAGTAGGTTTGTGCCTCCAGAGCAAATATTTGAGAGTCTGAGATGGAAAGGAAGCTCCATGAGTTTGTGAATCCTGGGAGTGGGGGCACACTCCATTTGGAGAAAACCAAAGCCCTTGCCATTTTTACATACACTCTTCCTCCTGTTCTATATATGATGCAAATGGATTTTTGCTTTTGTCTAATGGTAGATTCATAACAGATTGGGAAAATGGTGCAGTTTTGAAACAGTAGAGTCTTGAGAACCAATATTTTCAATTCTACTACATTTGCTATGCGATTATGGCAAATAGTTCTATGTTATGTAACAGTGAAGTAACAGAAGAATAACAGAAAACTCCATTTTTATGGACATATCTGTGTTGATTTCATCTTAAGGAAGCCATGCCATTTTTTTCTTGTCTATTCAGTAACATTTTCATCAGTCTAATGAATGCTCATCTTCGTGGAACTGCTGTGATGTTCATTTGTAAAAAACCTGAAGATCTTAAGAGGGGAAAAAGCTGTAGAAATTATCTTATTGGCAGACTATAGAAGTATCCTTGTTTGCATGTGAGTGTGACATTGTGCTGAGCTGCTATGGAGAGGATTGTGGTGTGTGAGGATTAGGCAGAGCATAAACATGAGGAACTGAAAAAGTCATAAGTTGAGGGATCTTTTTCTGCAGCTCAAAGGAGTTTATTACTCTATGGAGTAATAAAAAAGGAGAAAACAAATGCCATGATTATTTTTCTAGTGCTTGTGGCTATATGGGTGAAAAAGAGCTGTTTTGTGATCAGTGAAGATTTTTCAGCTTTTAAATATTAGCGAATTTCAAGGAAAAGATACTGTAGTCAGATTCACTCAGCTGTATCACAATCTCTGATCAAAATCTGTTCTCTCCCAGATTAAGTGCAGCTTCCTTGTATATACCTGATCTTGAATGATTTCTGTCTGAATCTCTCAAAAATTGGAGTTTTTTAGGATTCACCTGGTTGCGGGTTTCAAACTCATCTAGAAAATAGAATATTCTTCACTGTTTGTTTTGCTGGGATTTTTGCCATCTTTAGGAGCAGAGCTTGTTTGCTATGTCTGTTCCCCTTCTGCCTCCTACCTATCAGCTGCTTCCTGTCTTAGGTGGCCTTTGGGATGACAGGAGACAGGCTGCTGTCCTCCCCTCTGAAAGGGAGGCTGCAGCTGTTCTCCACAGGCCTTTGTTCTGGGTGACATTAACTTTGTTTCCCTATAGAAAATGACTCCTGCCCCCAGCTCCCCTCCTTTCCTTTGCAGTAATTGCTCTTTCTGAGCTGTATTGCAGTGGGAATCGTAACTGCTCTATGGGGCTGCGTGACCAAGGAGGCTCAGAAAAGAGGCTGTAAGGCTGAATGTGGCTCAAAGTCTATCTGCTTCCTGCCTCCCTGGGCTGCAGATGAGCAGGTGAGGGGAGAGGTGTAGTGAATGTTAGACCTTCTGCTGACTTGCTTCTTTTCATGCTAGTGAGGAAGAGAAAGAGGTATTTGCAATACTCCACCTATCCCTACACTACTTATTCCTACACTACTTCTGTGCAGAGCCAGCAGAGGCATAGGCTCTCTGCATCTCTCTTACATGAACTGTGAAAGATTTCTGGTATATTAGCCCCATTTTTTAGCCTTTTGTCAACAAATAGATCTGGAGCCAACTCAGAAATGGAACCAAACTTGTAGCTTCCAGTCTGAGATCTCAAAGATGTACAAAAGAGTCAGAGAAGTTGCCTGCTTCTCTGAGTACTTTATGAGAGACTGCTATTCTGTTAGTTCCTGCCAGTGTCTCTAGGTTTCTTTTCAAGAGGTGAGTGTCTGAAACTTGTTTGAGGACTGCAGAATAGAACAAGGGTTGGAAGTAGAAGGCCCTATCAAATGCCAGTTGCAGCAATTGTCAGATTCTTCTCTGGAGGATCTTGGGGATCTTATCTCTTAAGGCACAGTCTTACCTTTGCCCCGCTTAGTTTAAGTGGATTGAGGTGAAGTCTGTACAACCAGAATAGGTGTATGATATCAGAATTTGTTCATTACATTTGCTGACCTGTCTACATTCTGTATCTACCAGAGTCTGTATCAGAGCACTCCAGACCTATCTTTGAGGCACTTATATTCCAGCTTTAATTAGCTCTGATCTCTGATTTTATTTGTTTATTTATTTAATTATTTTTAAATAGATGAATTCTCTCTCTCAGGAAGTTATCCACACAAAGCAGGGCATGAGCAAAGATTATTCTTTGTCTTGTGTTCCGTTTCTGCTGCTCTGGGTCAGCAGTCCCAGATAGTTGCTCCCTCTTCAGTTGCCAGAGCTGAGGAAGAGTAGTACACAAGCTTCCATGTTGAAAGCAGTTGCCCAAGAGCAGCTGATGTGTCACCTCACTCTGAGAGGTATTTGAACTTTACAGGGTTTTTTTGGCCATACAGTGACCTCATCAGAAGAGTATGGTAATGTTGTGAGCCCTTGTGTATGGATGACCTGTCCTGCCTTCTGGGAATGCTTGCTACCACACAGGGGCATTGCAGCAGATGTGTGTGCCAGGCAGGTCACCCAGGACATCGCTAAGAGGGAGAATGCCCTCTCTGTGCAGCAGCTGGCAGCGTGACTCACAAGCACCATTCCACCTTTTATTTGAGAGCATGAACGTTTTCCATAATGTTCTCCCAGGTTTATTAATCCTTCTGGCTCAGGCTTCTCTATTGAGCTTGGACTCGTATGGGCAGAGTTACAATGCAGTGCTCCATGGACACGAAGAAACTTGGGTGAGAGAAGTGCAGGCTGACTGTCCTGGGACTCTGGCTTTTGGTGTGAGGGGAAACGAGAGCAGGGAAGTCTGGTCACACACTACCGAGGAAGAGGGCAAAGAAAAGAGATGGTGAAAGACCTGTTCAGGTCTTACCCTGAATGCATGAATGTGTGTCTTGTCCCTCATATCCATGCTGGATGCTTCCAGCTGTATTGTTATTTACTCAGGAAGGTGAAAACTGCTCCGGACTCAGCCTCATGATGAGACTTGTTTCGTTAACACTAACGATGAGCTGCTCTTTTTGTCTTGCTCTTGGATTTATTAAATTTGGTTTCCTAAGGCAAACATCATTGCTAGATCTACTGCTTTTCTCCGCAGTTTGAGCTTTGCCTTGCAAAATCTCTTTTGTGAGTTTACCTAAGGCCATGAGGATGGGTGGTGTAGGTAGAACTGAAATCCAGATCTCCTGTGCAGTAAAGTAAGAGACCTCAGTCACCAAACTGGCCTCTCAATCAGAGAGATTAATCTTCCAAATCCAATGTGTTTCTGATACATAATCTATCACTTGAATTTGCAGGCATTGCCCAATTTTCTCCATCTCCACAGGAAAAGGGCAAAAGAGGATTCCTTGAGCTGTGATAGCAATTAAAATACCATTGGCAGTAGTCATTTGGCTTCATATACCAGCAGTTTTAATGTGTCAGCATGTATCTGATAGCTCCATAACAACTCAGAATTTCTCATCGCTGTTTTCAAAATGCGGAGTGGATGCATATCTGAGCATGCTGTGTGCGCCGTTCCTTGCTTGCCCTGCTTGTTTTGGGGAAAAAATCTGTAATAATTACAAATATTTTTAAATTTAGGTTTTAATACTCTGGGAAGATGCAATTCCTTTTAAAGAGAGTAGTTCAGGTGTGAAAATTTGAGGTGTTTACTAAGCTCTATGGGTCTGTATGTGTGTGTTTTTCTGCAGATCCCAACCAAACCTAGAAACAATGAGTAAAACATTTTGTATAGGGGCTTTTGTACTGATAATGCAATGATGGTTATCAAAGATGAGGGATAACATTTGGTGCAAGTTGTCATCTGCTTTTCTTTGCTTTTGTAGATGTCTATTCCTTTGATGAAGAGGAGCCGGTTTTAGATCCGCATATAGCAAAACATTTGGCACACTTTGGAATTGATATGCTGCAAATGCAAGTGGTAGGAAATCCATCTTTTATTTAGATTGCTGTTTACTCTTCTTGCTGAGGGGACGGGGACAGTAGAAAGGTCATACCTGTAGCCTATATCTGTGTGATTACTAGACACTGCCGTGCTGATATTTAGTTTCATAAAGAGTTCTACCAGCCTGTCCATGTTTGATTCTTTGTGCCTGGATACAGAGTGAATCCTAAACTCCAAATCTGAAAATTCCCTTCCAAAAGAGTTTGTAGTCCATAGTTTACATGCTTCACTTACAGTATGTCATGTACCATTTTTTTTCCAAAGGTGAGAGAATTTATTCAGTTAGAGAAGAATATTTGAAATTTTAAATTAGTGATACGGTTAATGGAAGAAAGCCTATTGCATGTGTAAATAGAAGAAGCCTTAAACAAAAATAAACTAAGTAATGGATAAAAAACATGATTACCAGGTTATTTCTATCAAGCTATAAATTTGAACATTAAGTCTAAATGTTAATAAATCTTCAAATCTCTAAAATATAGCCCCTCAAATACTCTCCCTCAGTCTAGAAAGCAATGTGAACTATCAGCAGAAAGGGACTTAGGCATATAGGTCCTATATATTGCAAGCAGGGCTCAGCTTGTTGCTAGTCTGTATTGGTAGAGATGTCCCTTTGCCAGTCGGTGCCTCAGTGGATGCTGGTTGCAGTTGTGTTGAATTGATAAAGAAGTCTGAATGGAATATGGTATTGAGGCAGGTGTTTTTATTTTTTTTTCACTCGAGCACATAGGCCAGTGGGACTGACAACCAAAGCATGAAAATTACTAAAATGAATAAGTTTGGTAATTGGTTTAGTCTATTTCTTTGTACAAACCAAAAGAAAACTAATGATAAACTGTAAAATAATAGAGAAGTAGTAAGCTGCATTTCAAAGGCATTCATGGTACTAGTAAGTAGTACTTTTGTATATTCATTTTCTTGACAATACCATGAATAAAAAATTTCTTATAGGCAGAGTTGCTTCTGGAAAACCCACTTTACTCAGCAAAACTAAAAACTTTGTTGCCGTGTCAGGTGTGGTGAAATCAGAATTGGGATGCAATCACTTCCTTATAGCAAGGGTCTCACTTCCTGTCTTCAGAGCAGTTTGTAAAATTATTGGTGAAGTGGCAGGGTAGTGGTAGCAGTAAGTGACCTGTGCCAACAGGCTGTGTACGTACAAGCTGAATGCTGGGCTTTGAATAGGATGAGCTTTAGCATCACAAATTTGGCCTTTCCCATGTGAGTGAAGGGAAGAGTTCTTGGATCTGCAGCTTTCACTTGTTTTATTTGCTCGAACCATTTTCTGGAGGAACAGTTACTCCTGGCCATTACAAACATCAGAATACAAATCCTGAAATATTGGAGCGTTTTTAATGCTGAGGTTTGAGCTTGCAGCCCTGAGAGAAACTGGAACTGAGGTCACAACTAGAAGCACTCAAAGCCAGTGCTCTGAAGTGAAGATCTAATTGCACAGACAGGACAATCTAGAAGATAAAACCACTAGTGTCCTGGTTCTGATCTCTTCCTCTACAACAGGGATTTACTTCCATTTTCCCGTTGATTTGGCTCTTCTTTTCTAGAATGTAGGCCACAAAGTTGCAATGATGATAATAGCATCATAATAATTATGGCTGAAGGTGTATGTTCTTTCTTTTCTTTTATTTCTTTAAGAGAACATTCTTGTTGCTTTCAGACAGAGAATGGACTAAGAGATAATGACATCAAACCAAGAGTCTCTGAGTGGGAAGTAATTCAGGAAGCTGGTGTGAAACTCAAGCCCATGTATGGCCCAGGATATACTGGCATGAAGAACCTTGGAAATAGCTGCTACCTCAATGCTGTCATGCAAACCATTTTCAGCATCCCAGAGTTCCAGCGAGCGTAAGTAGTTCCAAGCCAGCTTTGATACCAGCTGCTGCATTTCCCAATCTCTGCTTTTCTAAGCAAAATAGTATTTAGAGACCTGCAAACAGGTCTATCCCAGGCAGTTTAGTGGCTGTTTGGAAGTAGTGATTGTCTAGTTCTGTTTTCAAAAAGATTAGAGCCTGAAGCCCTATCTGTTTTGGAAATCAAAACTTGCTGTGGTTTCAGTGGTGGGAAATCAGTTGCCACCTTGCAAACTTAATTGCCCCATCCCTGTTTTTTATTTATAGATCAGGTCATAGTATCCCATGAGATAGTGTTGTGGTTGGTGGTAGTTTATTTTTCCAGCTGGCTCATGCCTTCCTATAGCTGCAGGAATACCAGTTCTATTCCTACAATGTCACTTATGCAAACACACTATATTAGTGTGAGCATGTTAATATTGCTTCATGCTAATGTAAAATAATGCACTTTTTGTGTACCAGCGTGGTTAAGAAGGGGGTAGTATGCAAGCTAGAGGTTTTTTTGGATGTAATTTCTCTTTCTTTTTTTAAAAAAAGTCTACTTTCATAAGAAGGGTAGTGTGAGCATATTCTTCTGCTGCATAATTAAAAGAGAAAAAGAATAAAAGCATTTTTGCTTGTGTCTGCCCATCATTCATCAGAACACTAGAGAAGAAAATAAAATATACTTATCCATCAAAGCTGAACAATCATCAGTACAATGAGAGAAGCTTTCTCTTTTGTGAAGGACAGTCTATGATTTGCAATAAAACTCAGTGTTTTTTTATTTCACAACGAAGTATTATGTGCTCTTGAAGTGACGCTTTTATGTCTTGGAAAGGCTGTCAGGTTTTCATGTTCCAATTGCCTTCTGGTAAAGAAGTAGAAAACCTGGTTTTGTTTACTTTGTTAGCCGTATGGAGCACGGTCTGTAGACTCACTGTGTGTCAGCTTTTCTGTCTGCGTTTTGGAGAACAACACACACCTTACCATGGTGTGGTCCTTGGAGTGGCCTTGAGCACTTACTCAATACACCAGGGGAGATCTTTAATGAAAGAAGAATCCAATAGAACTTGGATATCTTCTTTCGACCTGGCCCTGCGTACCTAGTCTGCTATGCTGAAATGGAGCAAAGTGTAGATAAAGAGGGCTGATAAAGGCTCTGCTTTTCAGCAAGCTGGCTAAGACAGTATGTAACTGGGGACTATTGAAGATGTAGCCTTCATTTTTCTCAGGAAGTTGCTCAATAGGTGATTTACTTAGTGTTTTGGTCCTGATGTAAATTTGGAATTCAGTTGACACAATTAGTTAGGGTTGGGAAGCAGCTTATTTCTCAGCCCAGTTCTGTGGTTTTGAGCAAAACCTCTTAGTATCTCTGCTCTTCACTGATATGTAATTATTTCATGAAGATGTTTAGAGGCTTGCTTATGGTAAATAATGTGCATTGGAATGGAAGCTGCTAAAAGTAAGTTTGTTATTTAGTAATCTCTTTTGAGAAATGCTTAGAGATCAAAAATTGAGAGAGTAGATCAGATCTTGGAATAGAATTTAAATCCCAGAGGAATAACAGTGCAGTTGCTTTCCCTCTGGATGGAAGCAAATAAGCAAAACTTAAACATCCTCATCTTAGCTTCTTTAGCAGCGTTTTTGCATGGCAGAAGCACTCACTACGGCTAGATAAAGTCATAGCCATGATGTAAAGCTTGACTTGACAGGACCTTGGGAGTTTGAAATATCACTGCAATATCTCCTAGGGAATCTCTGAGTAAATATCACTGTGATATTTGAATGGTTCTGCTTTGTTCTTGCTGTCCAGGTATGTGGGAAACCTTCCAAGAATATTTGACTACTCCCCTCTGGATCCAACACAAGATTTCAACACTCAAATGTAAGTGATAATTTTCAGTGACTTAATCTGTCAAATATAATCTAAATAATATAATGTCAGAACAAAAGAGCATCTCGGCGTGGGCTTGCAAGTGAGATTTAGCACTGGGGTTGTTTGTGAAGCTCTGCCTTTTTTAATTACAGATAATGATTTTTTTTTCTCTTCTTTCCAGGAAGAATATCTTCCCTATCTTGTCTTATTTTCTGATTTTTCACTTTCATTTTGTCTTTTTCTCTTTCCCCTCTCTTTCCTACAGGGCTAAATTGGGACATGGCCTCCTTTCAGGCCAATACTCTAAGCCACCCGTGAAATCTGAGCTTATTGAGCAGGTGATGAAAGAAGAACACAAGGTATTTGAATGAGCTTGTGCAGCCTGGTAACTAGGTAAAAGTGATATCCCGGGAAAAGGGAACAGGTGCCGGGCATCGGAGAACGCGGGTGGATCCAGCATGGGATGCTTAGCAAGGTGGAATGTGCAGGATTCTAGTCAGGAATATATTAGTCAGGGGCTATTTGTGCAGAGCGTTAAAGCAGCCATTGGTTCTGCTATTAAAGTATTCTGCCGCTCCAGTAATAAGTGCAAAAGTTCAGAGAACTCGGAGCTTCAGTTCATCTTCTCTGAGGGACTAAGGAATGTTCTTTTGAGAGACCTGAGTGTTCAGAAGCAAACTTCTAAATTCTAAATTTCCCAAAGAAGCACCTGACAACATTTCACTTGACTGCAGAAGCTTTCTAGATGACATAGGAATTAGAGATGTGAGGGTTTTCATGCCTGTAAAGCCAAATTTAGAGCAGAATTAACATTAGAGGGATACTGGGAAAATAGGTCCCAGTTTGTATCTGTGTCCCTGCCAATCTCTGGTGCTATCCCAGGCTGCAGGTGGACTCAAACCAAAGAATTCAAAGTTGGAATATTTAAAAAGGAGAGCTCAACTAATAACCAAAACCACCATATGTAAAACTTTCCATTGTGGAAAAAGTATCCCTTTCACTAGGTTATATTTTTAGAGACAGTAAAAGTTGGGCATACTTATGTCAAGGAAACATTTTGATAGTTTCCGTGGAAATAGATATTTTATTCTACTTTCATTAGTTATTCATCTGCCTTCATCAGAATACTGGGGAGGTTTTGAACAGAGATCATCTGGTATTCAGATGAAAACCCCGTGTCTCTTGATCAATTGCTTTGTGCTCTAGCTATTCATTGTTCTGCAGAAACTGAGAAATCCTGCTCATGCTTCCTTTAAATAAAATTTAAAACCATCAGTGAATCACTGTCACTAAGGAATGGTGGGATAGTTTTCAACAGACTCCTCATATTCAATTGTGTGCACTGACTGACCTGATTTGTTAAACACACACAGGATATCAGTGAAGAATATTATATTGGAAGACCAGGAAAATGAACCCTTAGAATAAAACTACATCTTAATGTTTGCCCCAGCTGTGACTGCTAGCAATAGGTAATGAAGTACTGAAAACTTTGTAATGGCAGGTAACATAAACCTCTGCTAGGTAGTAGCTGTCTGCTGACATCTCAGAACACTTGTATTGTTCAGAATTTTGGTTCAATGATGTTGTAGTTACATGGGTCAAGTGATGTCTTTATTAAGTAAGTAGTAGCTTGTATTAGGAGCTGAAACAGCTTTTAATGCTTCCATTTTTACTGCATTGAAGATTGTTTTGAAAAATATAAAATGCAGATATTTCCTGCTGCTTTCACTCTGAACTTGCAAAATTAGGAACTGTTTTAGAAAATAGTGCTGAAATACATACAGATTGTATTTTACCATCCAGACAGTTGTACGGACATTTATAATAAATAAAATTGCATAGGATTTTAGGCCTTCAGCTTTTTCAAGTGCTTCTGCTTTGTGTCTGTTAAATTCATTTTATTTTTATTCTTTTACATTTTTTTCCCCTCTCTTATCTGCAAAGAAGTTCCCTAGCTCTTTGGTTCTTTGGATTTCATCCAAAGTTTTGGGGAGCTGTTGCCTGTGGAAGCGTTCATGTGAGATCTGCAGTGGTCCAGCACAGTCTATATTTAGCTAAACTGTTTTGCAACTGTTGATGGGAAAAGTATGCTAGGTATTCTATAAATATTCCTGGTTCTGTGCAGAGCTGAAATCTTCTTTTCAGTACAGGAGTTCAGATTGGGAATGGCAGCAGGTTTTCTGGACTCGCTTCAACATGAAGCAGGCTCAAAGCCTAAAGTCTTTAGCTAGCACTTGGTTTTCTGTTTAGAGCTTGACCATTTCTTCTCTTATTTTCATGCCCTTTGGGTAGAAGGGTTATGAAGGGTATGACACCTACGCATGGCACATTTGTGTTCTTTCTGCTCAAATGGCTGAATAAAAGGTGTAAATCCAAACATGCAGCATTAGGCATAAGGACAAACGTGCCACCCTGCGGTATTCTTGCTTCTGACAAGGAAAGAGGCCAGGTATGTAGTAATTTGAGTTGTTTTTAGTATTTCTCTCCCCAGTCCTAGCTATGATGAAAGGCAGTTGAGGACACAGAAGTGATACATAGCCCAACCTTCAGAAATCATCAGAACATCTTTTCATGTAGGCAGGACTACAACTCTGTGCCTTTATGTGGCCTTTTAAGAACATTTTAGCCTAATGAGATTGCTGGTGTATTGCCAGAAATTGAAAAGGCATTAAGACTAAAAATCTGCTTCTGACTTCCATTGATTGAAGACTGCCTTACCCTGGAAAAAACAAGAATAAAGTTTTGATCTTTCAGTATGTTTGATGTGCCTTCCATTTCTTGCTGCCTTTTCTATTTTTATACCGCACAACTGCAGTGCGGACTGGGATAGGCTTAGTGTTTAAACGCCAGCCCTCCAACGTAAAGGCTACACGTGTGCTTGGACTGTTTTGAAAGTTATCCTTGTGGAGGATGAGGGCAAATATAAATGAAGGGTTCTGACCATCTCAAAAGTGGTATTTAAATGTGGTGTTATCCCGTGTCTTCTTGAGGATGCAATTTAAGAGAAAAAGGAGAACTGAAGCTCTTTAAAGTGGCATAGATAGAAAGTCATAGAAAGTCAAAGCAAAGACTCTATAAAAAACTAGAGAATTTCTGATTTGGGCTAGTGTTTTTTCTGCAAGAATTTTGCAAAGCTAAAGGCAGTATGTTCTGATCCTAAACATAAATGATGCTTGCAAATGGTAAGTTTATGTCTAGTTTTAACTACTCACCTGGGAATACTGCTGTGCACTTTAGTTACACTCTGATTCATTTCATTTTTGGAGATTGCTGGGAAGGTTTTTGTCTTGAGTAAACCTGCTAGCTGATAGGTTCAAGTGCCTTGATGCCCACATGTTTTAAAAGAGGAGTAATGGTCTGAAAGGAATGTCAGATGTTGGCAAGCAGTAGGTCATGTGGCCTTTCTGAAAACTACTGTCCCTTAGCAAGTCTTTAGTCCCCTCTTTTACCTCACAAATCCTGTAGAAAGGCAGAGTGAAAGTTGCAGGAAATAGTTCAAAAAACATAAGGCACCAAAGCCTCATGTTTCAGAACCATTTTCTTTTTTACTGAAGTGGCAATCCAGATGAAACTGAAGCAAATGTTTATCTAGTGCCAGAAATGGGCTTACATATATGTATAGTGGAGTAACTTCAAGTTATTTGCTCTAGAAATTAATAAAAATACTTAAAGTTTTCTCTTTCTTTTATTTATTCTTAGCCTCAACAAAATGGAATATCTCCCCAAATGTTTAAGGCTTTTATAAGTAAAGGTCACCCAGAATTTTCCTCAAATAGACAACAGGATGCACAAGAATTTTTTCTACATCTTATGAATCTAGTAGAGGTGAGACAATTTCAGTAGCACTCGTTTATTACTTGAAGATTTCTGTGTAAAGTATTAGTTCCACTGAGTTCTGGCTCAGTGCTGCATGCAAAAGACCCAGAGGTTTGCATTTTATTTATGCCTTTCTGGAAGAAAAAGCCTACAAAAGCACCTGGTTTTGATTTAAAGCTTTTTTTTTTTCTTCTCTCTCTCGTCCATCCTTCCTCCTTCCTTTTCCCATTTGCCCAAGAATCTAGGATGTTTATTCATGTGATGTGTTCTGGATGAAATTAGTCACATTAGCCTGCATAATATTCTGCATTCCCAAAACACATGCACTGGTTATATGGTTGTCAGAAAACTCTTTTTTCCATTTTTTTGCCTGATAAATAGACACTAGCATGAAAAATAAAGAAGAGTTGATTATTCGTATAACATTTCCATTTGATAATTAACAATTTGTTCTGTTTCAATACAAGTTCAGAGTGCTAGGAACAATCCTAATTGCTAAAAGAATGCTCCATGGTATTTAACTGAGCTCTTCTGAGCTCTCTCTCTCTCTCTAATGTAACCTGCCACTTTCCTACCATCTTCTCCTCACCTTGTTTGTTCAGTTGATCAGATTTGTTAGGTCTATGCCCTGCAAGTTAATACGTACAGAAAGATCCTGCTGCATACATGGGTGCTGAGGCTATCAGTGGGATTCTCTGTGGGTGCACGAGTCTTGCATGAGAAAAAAAGTGCAAGCTGAGCTGTTGGGTCTGGACGCAAGAGTGATGTCTCTGTACTCACCATCAAACGACAAACATGTTTTGGGTTCTGTGCTCATTTTGATGATCATCACTTGAGTGACTGACTCCTGTGCCCTTCAGAGGAATGCAGTTGGTTCCGAAAACCCCAGTGATGTTTTCCGCTTCCTGGTGGAAGAGCGCACCCAGTGCTGCCAGTCCAGGAAGGTCCGCTACACGGAGAGGGTGGACTACATCATGCAGTTGCCAGTTGCCATGGAGGCAGCCACAAATAAAGGTAAAGGAAGACATAGATCCAGTGCCTGCTTCTCTGGTGACTCTCAGCCAGAAAAGCCAGAGAGAAAAACCAGAGAGAAAGAGGCTGTGGTCTCCTGGATGTGTTCATTTAGCTGTTAGTGTCATTATATATTTCTCAGATGAATTAATTGCCTATGAGCTGAAGAGGCGGGAAGCAGAAGCTGCCAGGAGAGCCCCACCAGAGCTTGTCCGTGCCAAGATCCCATTCAGTGCATGTCTGCAGGCCTTTTCAGAACCAAACAACGTGGATGACTTTTGGAGCAGTGCTCTTCAAGCAAAATCTGCGGGAGTTAAGTAAGTGTCTGGCTGCAGTGTTCTCAACTGTCAGACTGCAAGAGGGGATTTGGTCTGGTATCTTGTGGCTTAAATGTCTGCCCATGTTTTAAAATCAGATACCATGTATGAGCTAGTGCTAGAACTGTGTTGTGCTCTGACATACCTAGTCCAGTTCTCTGTGCTTTGGCCCTTGATGTTGTCCTCTGACTGAAAATGCTGAAGGGAATTGTGTGGAAACAGGTCAGGGTGCAGTGAACAGAAGCTGTAATTCTTGTGTGAGCAATTTCTTTAGCTGGATAGAGATTTTGCATTTATGACATGGTATACTGAAAACTTATATTTTTATTATATTCATGTTATACGTTATGCGTGTCTGGATTTCACCCCGTCCACCTCTGCATGCTATAGTGCTTGGTTACATCTATTAAACTCAATTGCTGTAACTCGTATGGAGCTATGGTGCAAGCTGGACATATAAACAAAATAAAAAGGAATATACCTGATGTGTTTATGCTCAAGTAGATAAAAGATATAACCAAGAACATCCTGGTCTTAAAAAACATAAAGAGAGAGGACAGGAGGTAGAGGTCAGTGCAGTTTTCAGGGCCAGTATTTCTTCATGCGTGTAAAAGTCAGTCCCTTACTGGGTTCTATTTCTGAAGTTCAACAGCAAAGTGTGGTTGGAAACTGGGCTCTGCAACTGGTTTGCTGTGCCTAGGTGCTTTGTTATTTTTAGAGCACTTAACGTATCAGTGGCTCTGCTCCCTTAGTGTATAGCTTTACTGCTGACATTGTATTGACAATAGGGACAGAGAGAAGGCAGAGTAAATAGCAGAAAGAATGCGGCAGAATTCTAAAGGTTTTATGTATTAACTGTGAATATATATTGCAAGAATATTTTAATGTTTAAATAAATAAAATTTAAATCTATTGTTGTTCACCTCACTTAAGTTATGTGAAGTTCCTCATCTCATGAGGTTTCTCGTCTCATGTGCATGAGGTATTGAAGTGTATGTTTGTGGTGGTTTTTTTCATCTGTTTTCACTGAGTTTTATTTCTGGTGCTTCCCAGAACGTCTCGTTTTGCTTCATTTCCCGAGTACTTGGTGGTGCAGATAAAGAAGTTCACCTTTGGCCTTGACTGGGTACCCAAAAAGCTTGGTATGTGCCTCTTACGCTTACCTCTTTCACGTCCTGTCCAAGATAACCTATAACACCTGTACATACATCTGTATACACACATTTACAATGAGGACCTGTTTGAGTTGTCATTTTTAATTCTTTACTTTTATTTTAACTTAGGTCATTGTAGATTATGTAGCCTTACCTTCTAGTTAAACTCTGCTTTAGCATTCTGAACTTCTCAAATAGCTGTTTTCAGGAGGAGAATCCTGAGTGTGTTTATAGCTTGTGGGTCAGAACCCTTTCTCTGAAGGCGCAGGTTTGTGCTCTGCAGTCATCTTGTTGCATTCATAAGCTGAGCCTATTTCTCTACGTTATAGATGTTTCTGTAGAGATGCCAGATATACTGGATATCAACCACCTAAGGGCCAGGGGTCTCCAGCCAGGAGAAGAGGAACTTCCAGACGTTGCTCCTCCCATTATCATTCCTGATGATCCCAAAGGTACCGACTTCTGTTCTCCTGGTCTCACTTTATCCCCTCCAAGTCTAGCACATGCTGATTCCCTTCGATCTATACCCTTCAGAGTTGCAGATAAAAAGCAGTTCCACACTTCAGTAGCTGGACGCTCCTGCATCTCCCCACAGCCTTTCTTCTTTCCTGCTTAACAACCCTAGTTCTTCCAGCTTCGTACTGCGGTTCGTGTTTTCAGAGTTGATGGTGGTGGTTGTTTTGGCCTCTCTCCAAGTAGTGCATATCTGTTTGGAAATTGCTGTATCCAAGGATAGAAATTGTATTTTGTGAAATAGATTGTTTCACTTGCTTTGCTGGCTAAAGTTTCCTACATATCTTGCCTTGTGATGCAATGCCATGATGCTGTTCAGTGGGGATCAGCTTGCACTGCATTTTTGTTGTTTTGTTTTTACATACTGAATTACTTCATATATTCTGTTTGCATTATCCTTTCTTAAGGATGAAGTCTTTATGCTCATTATTAATGAACCATATTGATCTCCTGACTTAAATGGCTAGGGAAGAGTCTGAAGATCTCGAGTTTATGAAAATCACCCATGTTTAAAGAGCATTGGCTCACTGTGCATGTCCATGATTCCCTTGCAGTAAGGTCATTGTGCACTTCCCAAAGTCTGGTGCAAAAAACTTCCTCTCGGAACCCTACACAGGATCTCACGACACGTGTCAGAAGTGGTGTGGAGCTTTAACCTACTCATTTCTTAGATGGTGTTAGGAAACTACTATTATCTTAGAGCACTTTTTTTGCTAAAATTTATCATCTAAAACCTGATGGTAAAGTAGTCTAGGTGGTACTGTAGCTAAATCAGCTCCTATTCCTCTCTTATACACAGATTGTTGTCCTTCCTTGTCTGAAGGACTTGCAAAATCTGTCATCTATTAAGGTATGTCCTGTAGGATTTTAGTGTTATAGTTCCAAGCAGATATTGTTATGTTCAGCCATGAAGTTCAGTTGCTTCTCTGGTGAACAGTTCGATTTATAATACCTCAAAATTTAATGCACAGAGGAGTACAGTTTAGTAAAACAGCTGTCCCAGCATAGATTAAAGTTCAAATTATTACACATTTAAAGTTCTAAAATTAGTTTTTAGTATGACTTAGCAGCTGCTATGTGATTCATTTCTCTGGGTGTACATAGGGCTGTACAGCCCATAAAGAAAAAAGCAAAACAAAACAAAACAAAAAAACCCCCTCTCTTTTAGAGACTATGTTGAACAGCTGCCTGAAACTGTTATAAAGCAGAAAAATGAGTTAATAATATACTGTGCTGTTATTTTTCTTGTATACAGTTTCTTTTACTCTAACATGCAGAACAAAGAATATTAGAATTTCTTCCTAGAGCCAGGCTGTTACAATATCCTGTGGATACTAAGTTTGCATGCCTCAGTATTTAGTAGTAGAGAAAGCAAGTCAGTGCCTGAAACTGTGTCAGGCCAAAGGCTATGGGAAAATTCAGCTCTCTGAAGGTTTTAATTCTGTCCCTCATCTGTAACTCCTTACCAATGTCTGTTCTTCCTTTAAACCTCTTGCTCAACAGACTGACATAGTTTTAGTTCAAGTGTGTGAAGGTAGCTGCTCATTTCAATAGATTCTTGCTTAAGTCATTTTGCGTCAGTCATCAGCTCTTACTTGCTCCTGGTTTACTGTAGCAGCATGGCTTTGCTCTGAGCTGAGTTGGGGAAACTTCAAGGCAGAGAAATCCTTGGTCTTATTTAGGGCAAAACATCAGAAATGTAAGATGTTGATGCACTGCCTGTGTGAGATCAAATGTTTCTACAACTTGCATTCTACAATGTGTTCTACAATTTATACAACAAATGCAGATTTTATTCTCATGAATTTTCTCAGTCTTCACATAAATCACTTTCCTTCCTCCCCATCCTCATTTTTTTTCTTTCTCAATTTTCAGATCATATGATGAACCATTTCATGGAGTGTATGTATATCATTTTCCTGAGGCTGTCATTTTAACTGCTCAAACCAGTTGCCCTGTTTTGCCTAGTTAGTGGCTGCTCTGTCTGCATGGAGATGCATGAAGCTTTGCCTGCATGCTTCTAAATGGCACTTGACTGTGTTCTGTGCTTCACTATGGGCATGAGGGCTATGAGCATACATACCTCAGAAACCTCTCTCTGAAAATAGTTACAGAGCATGAGCAATAAATGTATGGGTAATGATTTATGCTAGAGTCCAAATGGAGTCTAAAATGTAATCTGGTCCTTCTCCTGTTGCTGTTAGTACTTTTTTGGCCACATTTTTTGTGATGAGGGATGCATATATCAGTAATGTGAATATTTGCCGTGTTGGCAACTTTTCTTCTTACACAGGATGTTTTCTGCACTACTTTCAGTGGCAATTTATCAATGAGAGAGAGCGAGCATGCTGAGAGGCTCCTCATCATAGCGCTGCCAAGGATCAGTGTGGCTGTCGGGACAAATGGATTTTTCCATTTGTCAGTAGAGTCAGTGGCAGAAATACTGCTCTAAGCTGAAAGTCCCATATAGAAATGCAGTGCTGGGTGATAGAGGGGACGCTGCCCCTCCTGGGCAGGACGGGCTGAGCTGCTGCTCGTGTTCAGAGTAGAGCAGGAGCGATGGGCTCCCATCTGCAAGATGCTGCTGATCAGCAGCGTCGTGCAGTGCTGGCGGCCACAGCTGTTTGGTCCTGGCCCCTTCTGAACTCGGATCTCAGCTGAAGCTGTGAACCCATCACCCACAGGTGAGGTTCAACTGGAGACTGCCAGATTTGGCAGCTGTTGTTGCTCCTACCTGCAAGATCCTGCCTTTGAGAGGTTGGCTCCCACTTCTAGGTAAGATGAGTACCTAACGTCTCTACCCTCTTGAAATCCAGTGGTGAGCTTTGTATAAATAAGCTATTTGTATAAATGAAGTCCCCAAGAGTTCTTCACAGTGTAGGGATCTCAGTAAATTACGGAGACTTATCAGTCTCAGCGTTATCAGTAAATCCATTAAAAAAAAATACTACAGTGCTTTGCACAAGGCTCCTTTCTAATGAGTGTTGATTTGTTGCAGTACTAAAACAAATTCAGTTGGTTTGTGATGTAATGTATGGCACCATGAATGACAATGAGAAATATTATAAAATAGATTGAATTAGACTTTTTTATTTTAGAGCATCCTTTCTTGCAGCTTTAGATATTGATGAGTCTGCAGTTATGCAACTGGCAGAGATGGGTTTTCCTCTGGAAGCGTGTCGGAAAGCTGTATATTACACTGGCAACATGGGTGCTGAGGTGGCTTTCAACTGGATCATTGCCCACATGGAAGAACCAGGTCAGTGGTGAGAAGCTGCAAGCTCTGAGTACAGAGCCCTGAAGCCCAGATGCTTTTCTTTCCTATCAGCTTCCCTTAGCTCAAGCTCAGAGCATTCCTGATGTACTTAGAAGAAGCCCAGCTTGGTGCGTCTACTGATAGACTGGGCTGGTATATATTCTATCCTTCTTGTATCTCATTCATGAAAAACTTGGGCCAGTGATTCCATACTGAGCATGCCTGAACGCTCCATCTTCAGGGAGCTCTGGATTTGGTTGAGGTTGCATTTCGGTGTGTGCTTTTGTGTTGCGTGTAAAAATACAGCAAGAGTATGATCTGGCCTTCACCAACATGTTGTCTCAGTCGTGGACTTAAAGAGTTGGTTTAACACCTATGTGTGTATCAGCTGGATTGTCTGCTTTTCTGGTATTGTGATGGTTTCCACATCAACCTTTGTTACTTTGCTGAGTTTCACTTCTGCCATGTGCTGAGCTGTTCGAACCTGCTCAGTGTGAAACTTTCCACCTAGATATTTTGTAATACTCATATTTGTCTTGTTATTTTAAACTGTCCATACACGTAAGTTTGATTTGGACTAGTGAAATGAACTCCACCTTGATTTCAAGGCTCCTTTTGAGATCTTGTTTGCTTGTGTGCTGGTTGCTGAATTTTCAATTCAGTGGGATGAAAGAATGAAATGATGAATGTGTATTTGTTCCAGACTTTGCAGAACCATTGGCCATATCTGCTTTCGGAGGGGTTGATCCCACTGCAGCGGCTGGTTTAGGAGCTGTTGGACTAGATAACCAACCTCCTGAAGAGATGGTTGCCATCATCGTTTCCATGGGCTTCCAAAGAAATGTAGCAATTCAAGCACTGAAGGCAACAGTGAGTTTCATGAGAACATTTAGGTTCTGCTTCATATGATATGCTTTGCACATTTCCATATAGGAGCCTGTCAAATACATGTACGCAAGTGAAATCCAGATAGCGGATGATGCACATGGAGACATCCTGGCAAAGCAGGATGCCCAGCTTGCTTGGTTAGGTTGGAGGAGAGTGGCTGGTGTGTTTCACATGAACGTCAACTTGTGGAGGGGAAAGTGAGGACAACTTAAATTCTTTTACCATCTGCTGAGAAACTTCCTGGCTGCTGCAGGACTGTGTATGTTGAGGATGTGAACACAGGAGCTGTGGGGAACAGTTGTGGGAGGATTTCATTTCCATCTGTCAAGCTTTTGCAGCGTAATACAGAATATTCTTTGCAATGGAGGTACAGCATATGTCTTATATATTTCAAATGCTGTTGAATGTGGTCCTTCTGCTCAATGACCAGTATATAAGTGGTAGCTTGTTGCTAGAGAAGGTGTTAAAGGCTGCTCTATCACTTGTTTGCCTCAGAATCATAATTTGGAGCGTGCACTGGAATGGATCTTCAGCCACCCTGAGCCAGAGGAAGAAACTGTGCCTGCTTTGGACGTGATGGATATGGAGAATAATGTTAATGCCAACATCCTCGCAGCGACAGGGTCAGAGGAACCCAGGATCAAAGATGGGCCTGGAAGTAAGTTCTCCTGCAGTTTATTGTTGTTTATCATGCTGTTGTATCACACCTGTACCATTCATAGAACTCCCTTTGGTTTTGAAAGTGGCCCATGTATTTTTTTTGACGTGACCCAGGGAATGCTTTGGAAGCTGAGCATGACTCCCTGGGTGTGCTCTGTGGGCTGTGTTAGTGTTAGTTGAGGCCTGAACCCTTGTTGTAGGATAGAAGAAGGACCAAAAACAAAAAAAAACAAAAAACAAAAAAAAAAAAAAAAAAAAAAAAAAAAAAGTGTAGAGTTATTTTGTCTGAACACCCCAAAGATAAAATGCTGCTGTTCCAGACCACTTCAGTGTGTGTGCTCCTGTGATCTTGTGATCTGATGGAGGATTTGCTAATCCCTTGTACCAAATTCCACGTTCGATGTATGGCAGGTATAACTTATATCCTGCATATTCATGTACTTTTGGATTATGTTTTTTTCTCTGGGCTTGTAAGTCATTGCTCTTACTGCTACTACTGCTCAGCAGACCACAAGATGGGGCTTTTGTACAGCAGTCAAAACTACCAAGCAGGCAAAGACCCCAGTGTAGGTCTAAATGCACTACAATACAACAGCATGGTGGTTATGCTACGTTAAAGATAATATATTACTATTTTTTAAAATGTCTTTAGTCACCTATTCTAATAACTGTATTGAGTATATTCTCAAGTTGTCCCTGAACTATCTTGGCCTTAAGGGTCAAAAAAATTATTAACAAGCAATTTGATTTTGTTTCTGTAGTTGCTGTTATTATATAGCAATGCTCATTTCTTTGTTTGTGACATTACAAAGTGCAACCTTAAGTCTCTTGGAGACATGGGAAACATTGATTATCATTAGGTAATAAAGATTTGGAATAATTATTTTTTATGGTACTTAGCCTTTATAGACTGAGACCATTTATTGAGTGCTTGAAATCCCGGTAACCAACACAATACTGTAAATGGCTCCAGAGTACCCTCTCCACCAAAATCCAGGCCTCTGTCCTTATGCAGTACCCTGAAAGAAGGTACCCTTTTACTCTTAGTGGTTATTTTTGTGAATGTTATGGCTGGGAGGGGATAGCAAGTCCTCTTGCTAAAGGAAGAGGTTTCTTTCCTGTCCTCTCTTTGTGGGCTGCTGAAGTTTACACATTTTGGTGTGTTTTACAGGGGACTTGTGATCACATTCATAAACACAGCTAATTTGTGTGCAGAATGAACACCACATCTGGCACTTTGTATGGTGCTCTCTCTGAACTCGGAATAAATCTCTGCTCTTCTCTCTCTTTCAGCAGTGTCTGTGATCACAGCCCAACTGTACGTGCCTAGATCTATATGGGTTTGATTAGGGTTGTGTTAAAGCTTGACAGTGAATCTGAATGCTATATAAAGTACATAAAGCACAGCAGTGTAAACTGTGGAGGTGCAGAGTCTCATTTAGGAATGTTCAGTTCTAAAACTATCTTTAGTTTTAGAAGGAAAGGGTTTCCCTGGCTCCCTGTTGCAGTGTTAACAATGAAAGGCTAATGCTCTTATTTGTATTTGTTAACCAGGGTATGAGCTGTTTGGGTTCATCAGCCACATGGGAACATCCACAATGAGTGGCCACTATGTTTGTCATCTCAAAAAAGAGGGAAGGTGAGTGGATTTTGTAGAGAAACACAAAGATGAGCAAATGCTTTCTAGGTAATATGCATCTATGTAGAACAGGGTGTTCTGCACTGTGGCATAAATACGTGTGTTGTTACCATGTAAACACTTTCCACTGATGGAATGAAGGTTATGAATATTTTAAAGGGAGATTGATTTTGTTACTGCTTGCAGATGTACTGAGTCTGCTTTAATTCTGCCATGGTCTGTGCTCATGTGTATCACTGACTCTCCTTTGCTTGCAGTCCCAAAGCTGTTCCCCTCGCTTTGGGACATCAGTTTTGTACCTGGCTTTGTTTATTTGATCCCCCCCACAACTTTCTATTGCTCCTTGTCAATAGAAACTCATCAAACTGTGGCCTGAGATTAGTACTAGTAACACTGGTAATGTGGATTTTTGCTGGTAAACAGATCTTGGCTGTGATTTTCATACTTTCCCATTACTTGGCATTGAGGATCCTTGATTTTCTTTCATTTAAATCCTAACTACACTGCTCTGTACATCGCTGTATACATCACTCTTCCTTTTTCAATTGCTGATTCCGCAGGCAAACTTGCTTCGGTCATTTCTCTGCCCTTTTGTTCTTGATGTGATACTTAAATTTAGAATTTAAGCTACTTGAAGTTTGAGTCTGAGAAGTCCCTGATAAGCTCTTGATGATATTTATACATGTGGAATTTAATAAATCTTGTTTTTGTTTCAGATGGGTGATCTACAATGACCTTAGAGTCTGTGCCTCAGAACGACCTCCCAAAGACCTGGGCTACATTTATTTTTATCACAGGATACCAAGTTAGACCTCAGATCTCTTATTTGGCCTTATGAAGCCATAGCCTTTTTACCTGCCAAAAAACATTTGCAAATGATAAAATCTGAAACCAACAAAAAGACTAGCCTTTGGACTGCAAAGGAAAACATGGAATATTTATGGTTTATTTAAAAACAGTCAATTGATGCCTTCTTAACTATTAGAGGGAAGATTTCTTTTAGATGTACAGTAGGTTGTTTTAAATTTATATACCTTAAGGGATACCTCAAAGACCATACAGATTACTGGTGTATTCTGCAGCCAGCGTGTGGAGAAAACAGATGTTTCAAAATTGGACAGAAACAAGTCGGTCCAGCCCAACTCTTGCCTATTCAGTCCGTGTGTCCTTTGAGGGCCTTGAAGAAATACTCGTGTCTGTGGGAACTGGGAGCCCCTCGGAGTCCAGACCATCAAGGGAAATCATATCCCATATGATCTCATATGAAGTAAAAGAAAGGGGGTCTGTAGCTGTTCTTCAAAACAGAAGTGGTCTCATTTGAGATATTTTCATTGCAATAAGAAAAGTTGACTATTACTCTTATCTGTTGGGATTCGGTCAAGTGGTGTTTTCTTTTGCATTTTTGATGCCTAAACTTAACAAAATGGAGATGGAAGTGATCTCCTGTCAGTGACATGTATGTCTTCTGCCAAAGAGAAATGTTGGATTTAATTTTTTTTTTTTTTTTTTTTTTTTTTTTTTTTTTTTTGAGGAAGATTTTTTTTTTTTTTTTTTTTTTTTTTTTTTTTTTTTGTAACTTCTGACATATGGCTAAAAGAGGCACTAACTTTAAAAGTAAATGCACACAGCTCAGGGAGAGCAAGACTATTGTGTAAACTTATTTTCTACTGTAGGAGCTAAGGGTGGTGTTTATGTCCCACCATTTATTGTGGGGAAATTTGCATCCAAAATATTGGCAGTCCTGCTCAAATTAACTCCCTGGCAAAATATTTGCAGTATAATTTGGCTTTCCACCAAAGTTTCATCCGTGAGTGGGAGAATATTGCTCAGTAAAATTACTGATTTATTGATTCTCCACCCGCTTTTCCTTTTAAAGGAAAAAAAAATGCCCCGTAATGATATTTCAGCTATGTGGAAACTTGCAAACATACCAATAATATGATCTCTTCAACATGCAGCTTTTATAAGGAGCTTTATATTTTCTTTGGTGAGGATGGAGGAGTTGGGTAGGTAGGAACTGGCCTTTCCTGTCCTATTTTTCCATATTGTTTTTTTTTGGTTGGCATCACAGGGAAGAGTATATCTGAGGGTTTTTAAATTGTAAATAAAAACATTTATTCTGAGGAAAAAGAGTGATAAATGTGAAAAATTTCATGATTCAAAAAAAAAGTTCATAGTGTGTTGGCTGCTGCTTGGAGACAGTTGGAGGAGTTAGCTCACATAATTTTACTGAAACCTCAAAATAAACTTGTAACACGCCAAAAAAAACAAAAGCAAACCCTGCTTATAGAGTATGAGAGAGACAAGGAGAGGTAATTACATTTTCTCTGCAGTGAAAGCCTGCAGGTTTTTAATAGCAAACTCCAGGCAGCTACACACTACAGAAGAGAACTCAAATTCCTGGTTGTGAATAAGGCATTTTATTTTTTCCATCTTTGGGGAGTAGGAACAAAGTAAAAGCTGTTCACAAGTTTTCTCCTTCTTCCAGCTATTTTTTTAGTATTTCTGTATTGAACCAAGAAGTGCGACATTTGAGAAAGTGGGATTAACAAATGATGTGGTGACACTCAGATTTTATGTAGCTTTATTTGTACTTTTTTGTTGTGGCAGTGAAGAAGTTCAAAAGACTTTCTCTTTTTGATGCCCAGTTATATTCCAAGGAACTTTAACACACCTGCCTCCTCCTTGCCTCGTGTACTTAAAGGGCTGTTTAGAAACTATCTGGTGAGCCTTTATTCATAGTCTATAGGTAAGTAAAAAGCAACAGAGTTGTACATGGGTTCATTATTCAACTGGAAATGTGGCTGGTCTCCTGGGATTAAGGATGGAGCTTGGGCTCTTACAAACAGAGTTGGATACAGACTAAAACTGAAATGGCTGTGGGCCTGAGGTTGATTTCAGTTAATGTCAGGCACATTTAGAAAACTGGCAGGTGATAAGCTGAAAAAAAGGTGAACTATAAAGGGGAAGGCTGTTACCTGGCAGTGGTACTTTGGAGGTCTTTGCAGGTCAGCACTCTGGAGAACCACCAGCCTAAGCTACACAAGGGTCAGAAGTCCRGGGAGCAATCTAGAGGAAAGACTTAGAGCCTTTCTTTAAAATGTAGACTTGAAAAATCATCTGTTTGAGGGCATTTTTTTTCCCCCAGTGTTTTGTTTTCCCTTCTTTAACAAATGACCAGTTGAGTCATTTCACTCTTGCAGTGGGATATGGGTGAAGAACATCAGCAGCTCTAGGGAAGCAGGTTGTGCCTCCAGAATACAAAATAAAAGAGCCTGCAGTGAATAGATAGGGTAGTAATAATAATAATAATAATAGAGTCCTGTCTGAGACTGGAATTACTTTCTATGTAAATTGTGTGCCTGACTGGGCCAGGTCTCAGTGTACAACCTGAGCTGTAGCTGATGGGAATCTCCATGTGTCTGGCTACTGCAATGAATGTAAGAAGATYTGGGGTAGACTGTGAGCTGCTTCCCCCAAAAAGATGGGAGAGAAAGATCAGCCTAATCTCCAGTCTGAAAACTATGGTAATCCATGGGTTGATTGYAAATTTTGCTCTTATTTATAAGATTGATTTAAATTTCTGTATGACATGTTTGTATGACATGTTTAAAGAGGTGTGGAAGGAGGGAAAACTCAGCAACATTTCCTCTATTTTTCCATTTCCATTTTTCACCGCACACTTGGATTTCCGATAGAGCCTAATTCTGAGTCRCAATCTGCTCTTCACACTCATGTAGATACAGAATCCTTTTTAATCCTGCTAGCTAAAATAGAATCATAATTTATTGAAAGCTGTGGTTTAAACCAAATCCAGATGTTTTCAAACTCCTATCACTTGTAATTCTACTGTGTTAAGCAGTATTACTTCTGACTTTCATTGGTATAACTTAAAGCAGAATCCATCTAGTTTCTTGAGTTCAGGCAGCCTCCCTGAGTTGTCTTGCACGTTCTGAATCTGGATGCAACTGGAGCTCTCGAGAGTATTTTAGAAGCATCTCCAATTCATTCCTTTTGTTTTCCCTCCTGGCAGCAGCCATCTGTATTTCAATGCATGAAAACAGCAAAGAAAAGACTATGCAAAATGAGTAACTGGATAGAACATTTTATTCTCTTTCCATCCTTCCTTTTCCATTCATGTCTGAGATCAGTTGCTGATTTCCATTCAGTTTTCTGAGGTTTTACTGTTGTATCCTGGAAGTGTCTGTACGGGTTGATTTTGCACCATTCAGAATTGTTTGCTTGAAGCACTGTTAACAATTTGGAGAGTGTTTGAGATGAGTAAGGTTGTGAATGACATTGTTGCAGCTGTTTTAAATTAAAAAAAAATTTCACACATCTTTGGGTTGTGTAGATTTTTGCCTCTTTCTTTTCTATTTGAACATAAGAAGAGCAAAGGGAGAATGCTTTGATGCTGCCTGTTTTTTCTTACTTTAAATTGTTTTTATATTTGGTATTTTAATAAAAGACCTGCACAGGGAGTATAAAGTTTGTGAGATTCTTGGTTTCTTGTGACTCATGGGAACTTTATGGATGCACAAAAAAACCCCAGCAACCCTGGGCGAATATAAAACTGTATGAGAATACTAAGCGAATGGCAGAATTATAAAATAGGATTTAAGTTTTTTGTTGTTTGTGTTTTTTTAGGCCAGTTGTTTTTGAAAAATAGGAGCTGATGATGCTAATGTAGAAGCCTTGTCATTTTTCATGCAGCTTTTTGCTGTTTCCCCTCACTAAACCAGACAATAACCTCTCAGGTGTGCAGCAATGTGCGTAACGGAGGCGTTGGTGTTAGGATGAGTACCATAAAATAGCAAAGAAAAACAGTGTAAACCTGGCAGCATGTGTCGAGTGGGTGAAGATGTTTTCAGACTTATTTGTCACTGTCCAGTGATTTGAGTGGAGCTTTGTGTGTAGCACTTGGCACTAATGCTTCCTTGCCAACTGCTCCATTCCCTTGCCTTAAGGACCATGTACCACGTTCCTGGTAACAGAGCTAAACTAACCGTAACATCTCCAGGCAAAACAGACCCGTGGCAAGAGTGCAGCTACTTGATTCCTGGTGCTTGGTGGGTTTTTCGTTCTTGTTGCCTCTTCTTCAGGAAAAGGCTGTTTCAGTTAGAGCCATGGAGAGCAATTCCTGTTGGCTTTTCTGACAGAGCTTGCTCTCTACAGGCATGGTGTGAGTCTATCTTCTGTTTTTTTCTGGTCAGACCCACATCGGGCCTCAGAGCTCTCGGGTCCTTGCTTGCTTTCTCCACCGTCCTCGTTGGAGCTGTCGCAGCCCCGTGCTGCTCCGTTCCCGCTCTGCCCGTGGTGAYGTGTCTCAATCTTCCACCTTTCCTGTCTCGTGCTGGTGCTCCCGGTGTCCGGAGCACCGGCCCTGAAAACCCCTCAGAAAGATTTGGTGTAATATTACTTTTCTTTCAACTTATTTTCAGTGTGCAGTTACCTCATCTTCAAGTAAAAAAAAAAAAAAAAACTCTCTTAGGCTTTTTCTGTTCCTTCTTTGGTGTGTGTGCAAGATTATTAGAGCTCAGCTGGTATAGATTCCAGCTATAAGCATAATTGATTGGTGTGCTGTTGGAATAAAAATAAATGCTTTTAAAAAGCAAACGTCTTAGAGTAACTTGGTGGATTTATTTAAAAAATCTGCTGATAGGGAAAAAGTTTCTTATGAATTTATTTTTTAAGCACACAAGGAGATCTCTTGAGAAAGAATAGGAAAGAAGACCATGTAAAAAAAATTCCTTTATTTCACTTACAGATCAGATGTAGGTCCCTTCTTTCATTTTAAGTAATTATAGTCAAAGCCATCTTAAAATCCAAAACAAATTTTGAAATATTT